CTCTCTCTCTCTCTCTCTCTCTCTCTCTCTCTCTCTCTCTCTCTCTCTCTCTCTCTCTCTCTCTCTCTCTCTCTCTCTCTCAACACTACTCTAAGCTCCTGCGGCGCCCAGCGCTGAAGACTACTCCTAGCGCTAGCTACTACTACTGCAGCACTCTTCCAGAGTGCTGCGGCTGAATCCTGAAGACTGCCTTCTGAACTGCCCGAGAACTGCCTGTGAACTCCCGGGCGTACCAGTACTATATAGTGCTGGTACGGCTGGGAGGCTGCTCTTGCCAATGCCGAATCGTGCCAGACCCTGGCGTTGAAGTTCAAAAAAAGGTTGTCTTGAAATGGGCCTAAAAGTGGCCTGCGCTTATCCCTGGTCTGGTGCCTAAGTTTCTTGAAATGCCACCCAATTGTGAAAGAAATGAAAGCACTTGCAAAGAGGTAGAGACCAAAGAAGAGAAAAAGAAGAAGAAGAAGAAGAAGAAGAAGAAGAAGAAGATGTCACCAGCAAGACCAATGACAAATCCCCCTTCTCTCTCCACCTCCTCCTCCTCCTTCACTTCGCCAATATTATTCTTCTTCCAATAATAATTATAACAACGAGGGATGAACCAGAATCAATGTCCGAAGTTCCCTCTTACTGCTGACATCACCATAGGTCCACCATAGCCATGGCTTCCCCCCTTCTTCCACTTCTCACAAGCCTAGGCTATGGCGGACAATGGAGGGTTCTGCCCTCCTGTGCAAAGGACAACACAAAACAGCTATGTTGCAGCACTCCTGTCCAAAGGACAACCCAAACCAGCTATGCCGCTGCTGACTAAGCCGCCATGCCTGACTCTGCCTCGAGCTTCCTTGGTGCAGCACTACCCAACTGGGGCCTTCCAGATGCAGCGCCCAACAAGGTGATGAAGATGGTGTCCACCATAGCCAGGTAGGTACCTCGCCACTCTCCTCCTTCGCCCCCTTCTTCCGCCTCCTCAAGCTGGGCTGCTCGCCATAGCCAGGCTGGGCTCCCAGCTGCACTTCACCTCCAGGCAGCGCTGCACAAGTCCAGAGCTTGGTTCAGCAGCATGTCGCCAATCCTTGCATACCGCAAATGAGGAGCTGCTTGCTCCTCCGGAAGATATAGCGACCTACTGGCCTCTTGGGCGGTGACTTCCTAGGCCGAGCGGCCTCCCAGCAACCGGTACCTCCTCCCTTTTGGAGGGAAATATCATTGCAGGCTCTGCTATCGTCCGGACAGGCCCTAGACTCAGGCTACTCGGACTGGTACCGGCCTACCTCTAACCTACCGCTACTGGGACTCTAAAAATGCCAACTTTTGTCTTCTTCTGCTCGGCCTCCAGTMCCCGACACTTCTACCACTACTTGAGTGGTACCGGCCTACCTGCTACTTGAGTGTTTTTCCCTGCTGCTCTAAGTGTCGCGGGCCTACCCCCGCTACTTGAGTGTTTTCCCCGCTGCAACCCTCAAAGTCACAGCCACAGGTAAGTACCGGCCCTGCGGGGCCTTCCAACCAACAAGTATTGCGGGTCACACACTGTTACATGCTCAGTTGGGCGATGTACATAATAACCGAGGATCCACAATGTGATAAAAAGGACTGAATGGACAATGCAGTGCAAGTAGAATCTCAACAAGCAATGTGCATTCCGATACATACAAAATGGTGCTTTTATAGTGCAGTGGAAGACTTAGATACAAGTCCTGACCTGACCGGGACTGACCTCTTTCACGTAGCACAAGATAGCGAAGCAGAATGCTAGAATACTAATGACTAGCCCAATCGATGTTTCAACGCAGACCAAACATATATCATACTCGTCACAAAGTGTGAAGGGGCCTGGCGCTATACACAGAAAAGAGGCGCCAGGTCCAGACATACACAGACGAAGAGGAAGGGATCAGACGAAGAAGGCGAACGGGGAGATGGGAAAGTCTCGTTACAAGTCCCAAATAATCCCTCTTCAAAATGTCTGAAGTCCCATGTCGAGTCTGGATCCAATGTCACCAAGCTCTCTCTCTCTCTCTCTCTCTCTCTCTCTCTCTCTCTCTCTCTCTCTCTCTCT